CTTTAATAAAGTTACATTATTCATTTTTTTAAATCATTATATATTATTGAAAATGGCCAGTAACTAATGAAAGTAATGAGAATTGAATTATTATTACTTAAATGTAATGATGTTGGTGTCTCTTGACTAAAATACCATGATAATTTTTGTTGAAATATTTAATAAATTAATGTCAGTGATCTACTGCAAGGATCTTCTATAGCATAAGCATCTGCTTCTGAAAAGGAGAAGTTACTTGAAACAGAACTAGTGCTGCAAATGTTAATTTATACTCTGTCTGCTCTTTCCTACCCTCTTTTCCACATCATGAACCTCCCTTCCTTAGAAAACATACAGAGATTTTCGATTGCAAGGAGTTCTGGATTCCACCTTGAACAGCAAAACCTATGAGACAGTGCGAAACCGGCTGACTGTAGAAGAAGCCACAGCCTCAGTCAGTGAAGGCGGAGGGCTTCAAGGCATCACCATGAAAGACAGTGATGAAGAAGATGAAGAAGATGATTAGCTCTCCAGCTCTAGAAACCTCCAACTTGGATGTAGCCTGGAAACCAGTGCATGTAATCTAGTCTGTTATTCAGTTAGCCACATTAGGAAATGTTTTGTCCGCTCTAAATGCCCATGGAAAGTCTACCAATACAATTGCCATTTTAGCTGTGTGGTACTTAAGATTTAGCACCTCTGTTTCGATTCATTGAGTTTCCTGACTTCATATCTATATGTTCATAAGCAATATGGAGCACCATTGTTTAAAAATGTGAACGGAAACAAAAAATCTGCATAGAAAACATGCTAGGTGTGTCCCTGTTATGATTAAAGTATAAATGATGCTTCATTAATGTACTGTATATACATTGATGGTAAATTGTTGTGAAGACAAGTGAAACAAGTACTTTCATATCTTTGTTTCTCTCCTGTGGATGCCAAGTGCTTCGAAACAGAGTGAGGCTACTACAAATGACACCTCTTTTGTACATTTGGGGGTGGGGGAAACACGTAAACAAGACGTTGGAATTTTTCCTGTTTAATATACCCATGCACTTTCCCTCCAATATATACAGCTAACTATGTAGAAGTGACATACCAATGGAATACTAGTCATCCATATTGCCACAATGGGTTAACCTTTATCACCGTGTCCACATTACAATTCAGAGCAGTTGTTTTATGTCAATGTCTTACCCCCCCTAAATGTTACACTTTTGTTCAAAGTTCCGATAACTGTGTTTGTAAAAAGGACAACTTTAATTACAATCTTAGACTATACAGATGTGTTTATAATAATGAGGATAATAATAATAATGATAATTAATAATAATAATAATGACAATATATGAAGATTTCTTTTAGTAGATTGTAACCATAATTTAAATCTCCTTTTGTTTTCACAATGGTTTTTATATCTTGTCATGTACATTGCATTTGGACCAGTAACTTGCATGCCCTTGGGTTCCCCCATTCTCTTCCAGAAGCTTTTATTTTCTGTGTAATATAGTGAATCCATCTTGCTTTTTTTGCCTTATACAAGCCGACAGTTGTAAAAGTGTGAGGACTGTGGCTTCTCAATAAATAACTATTCAGATGTCCTAAGAAAATTGCTGGAGTCTTTTTATGTCTGCCTTAGGAAGATGAAAACAGAAACAAGATTTGCAACAATAACAAAAGTCAATGTAAGAGCCCCCTCTCCCCAGAATAAAGAATACATTTTCATTTGACATGCTTGGGTTTTTTCATAGTTTGCTAAATGATGGGTTTGTTTTCATATTTTCATACAAAGATGCCACTACAGAGGCATTAAGAAGCATATTTCTTTGAGAGTGCATCTTACTAAAGTCAATAGGACTTATTTCATAATAAGCTTAGGAATGAGCAAGCAGCAAAATGGAGGTTTTCAAGTTTTGTCCTGTTATGCCTTCCTTAGTAATAATTTAATAATTAAGAATAAAAAAGCAACAGCTCAGAAATTCATTTATTAATTTAAAGAGTTTATAGCCGAGTTTAACATGTAAAAGCAACAATAATTTAAAAATATAAACTATCCCTAAAAAAAAACATATATATTCTGCCTGCCAGTCTGAAAGGGAAGCATTAGTTTATGACCTCACAGTGTCGGTAGGTTGATATGATATGATATGATATGATATGATATGATATGAATGTGGTCCTACACAATTGGACAAAGGTTTCAAACTTAATCCTAGGGAGTAACATGAGACTGAAGAAATTTAGGCCTAAATCCTATTGTTAATTCTGACTAGAGTAGAACCATTGGATGACTTGGATTTACCAACATGTTGACTCAATATTCAGAAATTGATTTAATGGGACTAACCAACAGGCTTCCAGCCTTAGAGTGCATCTACACTGTAGAAATAATGCAGTTCCACACCCCTACACCACCGTGATTTTATGCATGCATACCTAGGAGAAAAAATTGCACATGCATATGAAATAATTCTTTCCAGTGTCTCTATGGCTGTAGAAACAGCTGAAAACAATCTGATTATCTAAAAGTTGTCTCCAGTAGTCTGAGACATTGAACCTTCTCTGTCAGAGAGCTCTCGTGCCACAATAAAATACAGTTCCCATGGTTCCCTAACCCTAACCCTAAAAGTGGACTCAATTTGCACTATTTCTGGCAGTCTGCAAAGGCCCTTTGTTGTTGTTATGTGCCTTCAAGTCATTTCTGACTTATGGAGACAGTAAGGTAGACCTGTTACAAGGTTTCCTTGGCAAGATTTATTCAAAGGAGTTTGCTATTGCCTTCCTCCAAGACTGAAAGAATATGACTTGCCCAAGATCACCCATTGGTTTCCATGGCCAAGCAGAAATTAGAACCCTGGTCTCCCTGAGTCCTAGTCCCAACACTCAAACTACTACTCATGCTGGCTTTTCAAAACAGAACAGATTAAACAGAACTGCACAGCATTGAAAGCCCAACCCTAGTCAGTTTGTAAAAGCCTGATAGCGCATAAATGTTATAACCAGTTGTTGGAACGAGAACAAGGACTGGGCCATCCTGGCCTCTCTAGGGAGGGAGTTCCAAAGCTTGGGAGCAGCCACCATGGAGGCCCTCTCCCTTGTTCCCACCCAATGAGCCTGAGAGCATAGTGGAACAGAGAGAAGGGCCTCTCCAAATGATCTTAGAGCTGTCATGTGCTCATAAAGGGAGGTAAGATCCTTCAAATAACCTGGAACCAAGCCATACAGGGCTTTATAGGTTAAAAACTGCACCTTCTGAATATGAAGCTCTTCCTCTTGAGTTATCCTCAGAGCCTATCACTTGGTGTTTTAAGTCGAATTAAGCCTCTTGTGCTTCAGCTGGGAGATGGGATGGAGGCAGGGATTATCACATGCTAAATTGCCACCGAATTGCCGGCCGCCATCAGCCCAAGTCCAAGCTGGGCTCAGCCGGCGCTTTTTGGAAACCGGAATGTTTTCCAGCTTCTAAAAAGCACCGTCTGAATCCGGCTGGGACCTGGGCTGATGGCAGCCAGCGATTCGCCGCAGTTTAGCATGTGATAATCCCTGCCTCCATCCTGCCTCCTGGTTGCAGCCTGGGAGGCTCAATTCGATTCAAAACGCCAAGCGATAATCTTCCTCCTTTAAAATCCAGTTGTGAGATCTGATCATATACACTTGGAAGACAAAGAGCACTAGGCTGTAATTTGAAACTACCAAATTCCTTCTGCATAACGTAGATATGTTCACGTGCAATAACACTTCTTATCTGTTCTCTGCCACCCTTATACTTATCCAGATGTTCCAAGAAGGGAAGGCCCAAACTCTCCAAAAAAGCAAGATTCTGTCTATTTGCACCAAGATGGAGCTACTGAAGTGCCTTCAGTCCAGAAATCTGTCTTGTTTTGAGTTTTATTGGAGACAGAATGAGGGTGGAGGAAAGGGGGTGGCAGAACCTGGCTTTTTCCTCAGTTACTGACATTAGTTACTGCTCAAAAGCCCTGCTGGGCATCCACTTCATTTGGAAGAGAATCCAGCTTCACACCAGCTGTAATAGCACAGCGCCTGGCTCCGTCAAATTCCCTCTCATCTCTGGAAGTCCAGCTAAGCTCTCCTTCTTTGGCAGTGTTAGTTCATGGAGCATGGAGACTGGAAATGCAAGCAAATTGACACATGTCACCACCTATTAATCCAATTTGTTTCAAATTTCGGCAAGTTGGCTTCCTCCTCCTCCTTCCCTCAAAGCATGTTTCCTGGCCTAAAGGAGCTGTAGGAAACTGCTCTCTCCTGCCATCTTAGCCCCCACCCCACTCCCATCCAGTTTCTCCTGTTTAAAGGGGTGGTGTTGTTTTCTTCAGGATTCAAAGTCTTGAGCACTGTGTATTTGGCCTGCTCCTACTCTTTTTCATCTATTTTTGAAGAAAGGAGCATCAAGGGACAAGACTTCATTAAGGCATGTTCACCATTTTAGGATTGTTTTTGGGACTAGATTAGGACATAGTGAGACCCTAAATTATGTTGAATTTGAAAGGCCCCACAGCAATCCTGAAATGTTGTGCATGTTTTGTCATTTGTTTATATTTTGAAGCCCCTCATAACATGAGCCTCAAGCTGTAACTTACATCATTTGGGTGCAAATCTGGAATTTACTGTGCTAACCTCAGCCACACTTGTTCCAATTCCACAGGCTGGAGCTTCCATATCACCTCCCATCACCTCAAAATGAATGAAGACAATTTATGAGCAAGTTCATGTCCAACTTTTCAAGGGGCAATGTGCATGCAGATTTCAATTTTGCCAAAGGAATAGAATTGTGTAGTCCAAAGGCAAACATGCTGCATCCCTCAGACACTTTTAGTGCAGCCTACCAGGGGTACCCATTGTTGTTATTGCACACCTCCAAGTCGTTTCCAACTTATGGTGACTCTGAGGCTACTCTGTCATGGGATTTTCTTGGCAAGATTTGTTCAGAGAAGGTTTACCATTGCCTTTCCCTGAGGCTGAGAGCATGTGACTTGCCCAAGGTCACTCAGTGGGTTTCATGGCTGAGCTGGGAATCAAACATTGGTCTCCAGAGTTGTAGTCCAACACTCAAACCACTATGCCACACTGGCTCATACCCATGCCCCTCCTCAATTCCCCCATCAAAGGAAACAATCAAACAGTCCCGCCATTCAGCTATTCAGCCTTGCTAGAGAGGGGAGCCAAACTATGGTGAAAAGGAGGAAAGTAATTTCCTTCCCTTATAAAACTGTGTTCCCCATGTCTTCCTCCACATGTAGAATTGTGCTCTGTGCAACCTGCCAAAGAGTGCACCCCTGTGGCTCCAAAGGGACTGGCCATGTATGACTGCTGCCAAAGGGATAGTGGGTGCAACATTTTATCTGTAGCAAGTCATCTTTATCATATCCAGATTGTCAGTGACAGTCCCAGTTAATCCTCTGCCATCCCATTTTTTCAACTGCTTTTAAAATGTCCCTGTTTCCCTTTCTTCTTCCCATTTTCCTCCATTGTCCTCTGCTTACTTCAGTTGCTGCAAACTGAGTTCAAAGTGCAAAAGTAGTTTGTATTCAATTCAACAGGAGGGAGAGGAATGGTGCCGTTTCCATTTGGGCTTTTTGTTTTCTACAGACTTTCCCAAACTCACTATTTAAATCCTAGGTTTTCTTTACTTCAAGTAAAGTTTTGCATGCTGCTTCTCATTAATCACTTTTGTCCCTTTGTTACCTGACCACACTCCTTCAACCACACTCTGATGTCACTCAGCCACATATGTTCCAGTTGGCATCTGTGAAATGTTGGATGATATGTCTTTACACAACTCAGCACATTTACAATATGACTGTCCTACTGCACCTTTTCGTCTCCTGTTGGACTCTGCAGACCGGAGTTCGAATCCCAGCTCAGCCATGTAAACCCCACTGGGAGACCTTGGGAAGTCACACTCCCTCAGCTTTAGGGGATGGCAGTGGCAACCCCTCTCTGAAGAAACTTGCCAAGAAAATCCCATGACAGGGTCACCATAAGTCAGAAAAGACTTAAAGGCAAACAACAACAACAACAACAACAACAAAGCAGCTACTAGGAAAAGGAAATAAAGTTGAAAATATGTACTTCCTAAGCTTCAGCCACTAAACACACTGCAAATAAACTTCGATAGTTAGTTTGGATCCCCCCGCAACAGGTAGCTATAATGGTGGCATATTTTTGAAGCCTCCACTCACCCAAAAAAGTGGAGTCTGTGGTAAATTCTACACCATTTATAGAATATTGCACTTGTGGCATTGTGCCACTCTTTTGTGTTCTGTAGGGCTGCTTTGTAAATGAATATTGCAAACATGAATAGAGTTGTTTGTAATCAATGTGCACGTTTAAATCAGACACAAAAAAACATCAACAATACAACATAGAACACAGCGTAATTCCGAAGTTGCACACATGCTATAAGGCACCAGTGCAGGACTTGCTTCAAAGTATGCAGGTCAATGGTTGTTGAAGCTTTGAATCAAAATACATAAGATCACAGTAAGGAATTTACCGTTCCATTCACTGCTATTCCCATAAATTAAAGTCCTGTTAACTAATTCAATAAGACAAGGGTCTAATTCTTGACCCATGGCAAACACACCTCCTCTCCTCTCTGGCTCTCTTGCTCTTTTTTCTGAACTCAAATATGTAGGTACAGCCCATTTCTTAACATTTCTCCCACCCACTGGGTGAAACCAAGAATCCACAGGAGTTGGACAATCATTCTATACATGTGAAGCTCTTGCTGTAAATCCACTAGGCACTAAACAAGCTGGCCAAACAATACATCCTCAGCCCAGGAGTGGGAATCATATGGCCTGGGGCTACAGGGAAGTTCTTCAGACCCCTACAGCCTTTCTAAGCCCTGAGATCCCTTCTCCCTCATCCTCAAAAAGGGGTCAAACCTGAGAGTTGTGGCTTCTGAGAACTCTTTAAAATAACATACAAACATCCCCAGACATAGCTTTGATCTACTCCCCAAACATGGATTTTGCAAAAGTAGATGTATACTTCTGGTCACTTCTAGTTTTGCTTTGGGAGGGATGATGCATCCCAGGACTGATCTTCCATGGGGTAAATGGCCACTGGGATCCAGAAGTTCACCCACAACCTTAAAAAATGTGTCTTCAGGAAGTATGTGGAAGCAATGGATTAGAGGAGGCTGCAGGGTTGCCATACTTCTGGGTTGGCCAGCTATTATCCAGATTCTAGGCATGTCATCCAATGCCCATTTGAGCTTTCACCTAGCCTGGATTACAAGTTTTCTTTCATTTTTTAAGTAAGTCTCTAGCCCTTACAGAAGAGATATGGGACAAAATGAGGAGGCACCCAGATTTTTTTCCTCCATGGGAAACAAGTCTGCCTCTGCCTTTCAAGAAGCAAGAGTGAGCATTACAAAGTGCAGAGTGCAAAAAGCTAGGGGGGCGCTCTTAAGAGGGTGTGAGGTGAGGCAAAGGAAGAAGGAGCAGGAAAACGAGAGCGAATGGTGTGAGTCCAAGGAGCATGGGAGGGCTGCATTGTGTGGGTGTAAGGTGTAGCAAAGGAGGGAATAGTAGGGAAGGGACAGTGAACAGTGTGAGTAGCAGAGTTCAAGAATGAAGGAAGGAATTGTTGCAAGGATAAAAGATGGGATGAGGATGGGAGTAGGAGGGCAGGGAGAGTGGGCAGTGTGGATTCATCTTGTCTCCCATGCAATTTATTTCTACATGGGGCTGCTTTGAGAAGCCATTAGGGTTTGGGGAATTGGGTACCATCTATATGCTGATAACATTCTCCTCTCCTTCTCCTCATTATCAGAACTGGAGGTGCTGGACCAGTGCCTGGATGCTGTAACAGGCTGGATGAGGAGCAATAAACAAGTTTAATTCAGTAATATGGGGGCTTTGTGGATTGGGGGTTCTCAAGTCCAGGGATTGGGTAGGTTGCATGCCATGGATGGAGTTGCACATAGTCTGGGAGTACTCCTAGATCAATCCTTGTCACTGGAGGCCCAGATACTTAATGGCTTGAAATGTTTGGGGCCAACTGTGACTGGTCCCCCAACTATGGACAGGGATAACTTAGCCACAGTAGGGAGTCGGGAGCCAGGCCCATGGCAGTGCAGCAGCATCAGGGCCAGGAAGAGGCCCGGGTGGAGGCTTCGTAGCCCACCCAGTATCATCAGCACATCTGCGCAGCAGCAGCAGGGCAGAGATAGCCCCAGGCAAAAACCCTATAGCTCCCCCCAACCTTATTGTCGGCATTGTTGGGGTGGAGCCGGCGAGGAGGACATTGATCCGCCACCGATACTATTACCACCTGCAGCTGTCATAGCCGAGAGAATGCTGGGGAAAAAACTATTTAGCCTGCCCCAACTCCATTACCATCGGCAGCAGCGTTGCCGGGGGGAGCAGGCTAGGAGGACATCCTGTCTGCCCCCAACATCATTATCGCCTGTACCGACGCTGTCGGGAGAACATTGGGAAGGAGGTTAATTGGTTACCTCAATTCTATCACCTCCTATAGTGGCCGGGAACAATCTAGGAGATGAAATTGAGGTTGTGCAGGGGAAAGGAAGGTATGGCGGTAACAGAGTGAAGAGCTGTTACAAAAGAAGGTGGGATTGATGCTTGAAAACTATCCCGCATTCAGTTCACCCTGTTTCCCGGAATGGATTGGAGAGCACACCAATCATTCCACAGAACCTTACCCTGTTCCTTTTCAATGCCAGGTCAGTTAAGAATAAGACTCATATCTTCTATGACCTCCTTTTAGATGAGGATGCCAACCTGGCTTGCTTTACAGAGACCTGGCTGGGAGAGGACAGCACTACAACTTGGTCGCAGGCCATCCCAGCCGGGTACTCTGTCAGTGAGCAGGTAAGGGGAAGTGGGGCAGGGCGGAGTGGCTCTGGTTCATAAGAACAACCTGACCTTGACCAGGATACCTGTACGGAACACAGTCCACTTTGAGTGTATGTACCTGAGCCCGAGGACGAAGGATAGTTTGGGGATTCTGCTAGTATACCGTCCACCCCATTGTCTACCAGACTCTCTAACTGAGCTGACACAGCTGGTCTCAGAGTTGCTGTTGGACTCACCCAGACTTCTAGTTTTTGGCAACTTCAACATTCCACTCGAGACCAGTTTGTCAAATCTAATAGGTGTGGCTCGGGAGTTCATGGAATCCATGAAAACATGGGCCTAGCCCAATTGGTCGTCGGGCCCACTCATTGTGCAGGTCATACCCTCGATGCGGTCTTTAGTACAGAGCAGGAATATCCATGGACGGAGGTTATTAAAACTACCACATTGTCATAGACGGATCATTTCCTGATCAAGGCTGAACTAAGAACCACTATCCACCTCATCGGGGGGGGGGGGTGGACTCACTAGAATGGTCCGCCCTCGAAGGCTAATGGAACAAATTAGATTCCAGAAAGCCTTAGAGGGTATAATAGTTGGTAATGCCAGTGATTCTGCTGAAGCTTTGGTTAATACCTAGAATATCAATCTCACCAAGCTATTGACACAATTGCTCCCAAGTGTCCTTTCCAACCCACTTCAAACTGCAAACCATGGTACCCGGAAGAGCTCAGGAAGATGCTTCTTAGAGACATCATCAACGCATCCCTTAGGGTAGGTTATGTTCCACCCTGTTTGAAGGAAGCAGTGGTTAGGACGCTTCTGAAAAAACCTTCCTTGCCCTCCCTGGACATGAATAACTACAGGCCAGTCCCTTTACTACCTTTTCTGAGCAAAGTGATTGAGAGGGCAGTTGCTCTTCAACTCCAAGTTGTCTTGGATGAAACCAATTATCTAGATCCATTTCAAATGGGCTTTAGGACAGGATATGGAGTTGAGACTGTCATGGTCGCCTTGGCTGATAACCTTCATCTGGGCATTGACAGGGTAGTGTGACCCTGTTGATGCTACTGGAGCTCTCATGGCTTTTGACACAATAGATCATAACATCCTCTTGGATCGCCTGAGAGGGTGATGCTCAAGGACAGTTGCTCTGCATGTAAAGAGCTTAATTGTGGCCATCCTGTCCCCAATGTTATTTAATATATATATGAAGCTGCTGGGAGAGATCATCCGAGACATGG